TCGCTGTATTATTATGCATGTTTTTTAATACAATTGCATGGGCTGTTGTGTTTTTGAATGTCATCTGACTTAGTTAAGGTTAGAACCTTAGGCTGCATGAATTGTTGTGTTCCTGACTGCTAATCGTTTCTGATTATGCACTCGCTTGATCACCTCACATGTTAGGAGAAAGGTCCTAAAATCAATCCAAATTGCCTGACAAATGTTTTAAAAAATGAACAGGGTAGAAAGGTACCGAAAGGGCATTAGTTATCTAACTAGTGTAACCAAGTCCCCGAATTCGGTTAATCTCTGGTTCGTAGGAATAGGGTGATTCTCCCATCACCCTATTTGGGTTTCTAATCGACCCACCCCAAATCGATTAGTGGCGACTCCTTGATGTAAACCACTTGCATGTTAAACACTTAAACCCTAAGTCGCGATATGGTATGGGCTTGGGAGAGCCCGAGTTAAGTCCCGAACCTAGACTTAGCACGTACCAGGCGAACCCCCCTTTTCTGCATGCTCGATAAAAAGGGGTACGGGAGTTCGGTCGCGACATTCCTTGTTCAAATAAGACGGCTAGATGGCTAGCTTCTTATTATGATTAACATGCCTCTCTTGTTCGGTTAATAAGTTGTCACATATCCCTAATTTCGATTAAATATTGAGACTATTGAGATGAAATGTGAAACGGAGGTTATAGTAATAGTGAACTGCTCAATAATAAGAGGATGTGTATGAAGCTTTCTCAATCTGTAAATTGTTCTCGTAATTCGTGTACTCTTTAGCATATGTTGATCTTCTTGTATAGTCTTCAAGATCCACACCAACGATTGGAAAATTTCAAGATGATCAATTCAGCCGTTGAAAATAAGTTTCACAATCATCGGGAGATCTATTCGTCCATACAATCATATCTTTCTAGTGACAATGTGGTTACCCCAAATGGACCCACTCATAATTGGAAATAATCCTTCTAAGAAAATTGATTGACAACGGATTAAATTTCTCTTCGCATGTATATCTTTGGAATTCCAGGCTTGAGGCTAACCGTTAGGGTAAAAGCCACAAAAAACCCTAAACTATGCCTATTGTAATACATTTTGGCTGAAAATCATTTAACAGTATCTTGATGGAGGATAAATGTGTTACATATGTACAAGTTTGAGATTTTTTATGTCACAAGAAAAAGTTTAGGGTAAATATGTTATAATTGGCATAATTTGAGGTTTTTGATATCACAAAAAAGTTTAGCATAAATGTGTTATCGTGTGCATAGTTTGGGGTTTTTTAATGACTTTTTTCCTAACTGTTAATATTCCTTAACAATTAGACTTGTTTTCAAAAGGAATATCTGGGTCTTAAGGACATGATGCGTATTTATGCAATACACACGTTCTTCTCAGGTGATACAAAGAACCGCTCCTATCAATGAGTCCATCAAGGCTTCAAGCCATTAGTCGACTTGCATGCTGCCATCCACTTTATCTTCCTATGTATGAATGTGACTATATGAACTATTCGCCTTGTCACAGTACTTCCAAGTCCTCATGAACTTCCCGTTCCTTGACTTATTCACCTTCATCAAGGTCCTTACAGTGATCTTTAGTCTTTTCTTTCATACTTTATGTTCTATTAGTGGCAATAGAGTTTTCCTTGCCTTTGTTTAATCGTGAGATAAGACAACATATGCATTTGTCCAATAATTGATACAAGCAAATGGTTTTGTCAACCTCAAAATGGCTTGGGCTATGAGTAAGGCCCGACACATAGCGACCACGGAAGAAGTGGAAAAGATGATGGGGTTGAAGAACATGGTTTGTGACGGAGGCTAGAGGAGAACCAAGTTCAGTGGTGACCAGTACTTTTTTTGTCAGAGTTGGCATGTAGTAAGATGATGTGTATATTGAGTTTGTTTCTCTGAGGAAGTTTGAGAGTAACTTGGGCTTAGTAGATGGATGTGGCAGCTAAACGGTTCTAAGGGGGCGCTGGGAGAGCGGTAACATGGAGTGGTGAATCAAGACTGTGACCTGGCTACAAACTCAATCCAAAGTGGCGATTGCTGTGTATATCCCAAGTTTTTGGCCAATAACTTGAGCGAGAATTGGAGCTTGGAGAAGTGAATAGGCACGGGGTGGAGTTTGGCGAGGCGTATGAAGGCGGAAGAGTGCCCGGGCATGGAGGACCGGCTTGTTGGGCGGCAGCACAGGCAACGGCAAGGCTCTCGCGCAAAAGAGCCTAGAAGCCTGTGACGTCAAGCTTGGCATGGGCTCCGCCCAGGCTTGGGCAGGGCACCTGGACACACTAGGTGCGACCTTGATGTGTATGTTAGAGACGCAAATTTTTGACCTATTTAAAAGAGCTTTTCAGAGAGAGAACAGTAGGATTACACATTAGAGCCTCTTGAGGATATTTCTAAGGTATCTCATTGAGAGTTTTGTAAGGAAAACACTTGAGAGATTGAGTGAAACACCTAGTGAAGACCAATTGGGTGTAATATGGGGCTTAGATGTGAGAGATCTTTTGATCTGAGCTTATATTTCTGTTGTTCACAGTGGATTCATTACCGCTGCTCTCCTCGTAGATTAGGTTCTATCACTCAGACCGAATTACGTAAATTCTAGTATATTGTTTTCTCTATTTCTCACTCATTTCTCCATTTATTACTTTTGTGCTTAATTGTAGGGCATACTTTCCCTAACATGTTCAAAGATACATTATGAATAACTACAACATGCATGACACATTTTTAAAAGTCGTATCATTTTGGAATTTTGGTAGGCTACAAATCTTGACATTACTCTATGGTTAAGGTCATATTTGAGTAATGTCCAAATTTATACCTTACGAAACAATGAGTAGCTTTTCAACAAAAAAGAACAAAAAAGATAGCACAAAAGGATAAAATATATTGTATTCAATGAAAGGAGGAATCGCACTACAAAAAAACAAGGGATTAGCGACGAATTTTGCGACGAAAAATTTGGCAAAATCCGTCGCTAATCGAATTTGCGACGAAATTAGCGACGGAAAAAATTCCGTCACTAATTCGGCGTCGCAAAATTTTGCGACGGAAAAAAATTTGTCGCAAATTAGCCATGAACTTTATTCGTCGCAAAATTCGTCGCAAATTAGCCACGAACTTTATCCGTTGCAAAATTCGTCGCAAATAATTCGTCACAAAATTCGTCGCAAATTAGCCACGAACTTTATTCGTTGCAAAATTCGTCGGAAATTTCGTCGCAAAATTCGTCGCAAATTAGCCACGAACTTTACCCGTCGCAAAATTCGTTGCAAATAATTCGTTGCAAATTAGCTACAAACTTTATTCGTCGCAAATTAGCCACGAACTTTATCCGTCGCAAAATTCGTCGCAAATTAGCCACGAACTTTATTCGTCGCAAATTAGCCACGACCTTTATTCGTCGGAAAATTCGTCGGAAAATTGGTCGCAAAATTGGTCGCTACTTATTCGTCGCAAATTAGCCACGAACTGTATTGGTCGCAAAATTCGTCGCTAAATATTCGTCGCAAAATTCGTCGCAAATTATACACCATTTGGGCCATCAAATCTTGTCCATAGCAATAGCTACGCATTAATGAACATCATGTAATACATTCAAAACAATCAAAGGACACGAGACAACCATAGATTCCGCTTCAGAAACAGAAAACGAACAAACCAGACACAATGCCATATAATTGAAAAATATAACTGAAGGAAAGATGCTAGTCCGCAAAAAATAATGATATATGCAAAGTTGCAAAGTCTGACATGATGCTATTTGATATCCAATCTTATAATACATTCAAAACATTCAAAGGAGGCGGGGACAACCATAGATTCTGCTTCAAAAATGAAAAATCGACAAACCAGACACAAGATTGGGCAGCTTCGGTACTCGGTAGGACACCAAAAGCAGTCACTTTTGTCGACACCTGATGAAATGTGGATACATAAATAAAGATATTCAATCAGTCCAGAATATAAAAGAAGCGTTTATGCATGGATGTGGAACTAGGTATAAAAAAACAAGTAGGAGGGTTAACAAAAAAACGTTTCAGGACGAACATCAATGTTCTTACATATGAATATGAGTCAACTTTGACATCCACTGTAGTTTTTTCACCCTTGTAAACCGTATTTCTGTCACCTACGAAAAATTAGATCCTTCTCCAAATAGCATTCAACAGTTTAATGACTTAGAGAGGTGAATTACCAACACCAATTCCCAGGAAGAGAGGACTCAAAGTCAATTAAGGCATGTATTTCTACAATGTTCAAATATCATGATTTTTTGTAACAAGCATGTCATCCTAGGATCTCTAAATTTTCAGTTTTTCGCAAGCAAAGAACCTAGTTGTAAGAAAGTTGTGCACATAAAGTAATTGTAGGGCAGGAACATATTGGGCAAATTGCACTTATGGCGCAAAAGATTGTGAAGCTTAACTAGAAAGGACCGAGAAAATCATCATCATCATCAGCAATCTCAGCATCATTGTGTCGCTCATCATTGTGCCCATCACCTATTGGATTGGCGGGAGGTACAGGAGGAACCTCATCGTGATCGAGGTTGAGGTGTCGCATAATGATTTGCATTTGTTGTTTCATTCCTCTTATTTCTTCGTCCTTCTCTACAAGTATATTTTTCAATTGTCTCAATTCTTGGGTTATTTGCTCATCAAGTCGTGTCCTCCTTGGAACAGCCGCATTGGAGGATGAAGTTGCAGCATGATTCGTCGTGTATACCCTTGACAAGGATCCCATCCCAAATATTTTTCCTTTTTTCATCCCACCCGTTGCCTCCACCCATAATGCCATACTGTCAATTGATGGCTCAGACGCAGCAACACCATCACCACCACTAGCATTGCTCATAAAAAGTTCATCATATTTTTCCTACATTAACAATATAGATGAAAATAAAATAACTTCATAGATATAACTACCATAAATATTAAAAGCATTCACGGTTTTCATTCTAGTTTCCATAAAGTCCAAAGTATAACCTTACATACCTTAATAGCTTTTGCTCGATCGCCAGTCCATGTCTTATCTTTTTTTTGAAATGTGCGTTCAAATGTAGCTGCAAATGTCGGTTCCGTCCCCAATTCATGTGCCTACAAAATGTAAACATGAGTAATTGAATTAAATTAACTTATAACTTATTTAACAGACTTACCATTCGTTTTCGATGCTCCCCAATGTTGATAGAGCCCCCAGCATATGTGGCAGACCCTTCACTAGAACTAGAAGATCGATTCTTTTTATTCTGCTCACTGATTTGCTGATTCTTTTCAGTTTCCCAAATTCTGTTAATTTCCATCCTTGTCAGCTGTAATGAAAGCTGGCTTCACTTGCTTGATCTTCGCTCTATTCATCACATTTCGTATGTGATCACTGACTTTCTTCTTAAAAATTCTTCTCACTTCATTCTCTTCCTCTTCATCCCACCTGAACTTCCATTGCAATCAATACAAAAACAATTGAAAGTCATTATGATGGTCACATATCCATTACCATGCACCAGACAATTCGGCGATAGATTTTGTAAAGTTCATCTCGGGGAAAATATCTGGTCCCTTTAGTACCGAAAACTAAAGAGTTGTTCTGGTCCCTTTATATCATTCTTGACCATCAATATACTACACCGAACTTAGTTGGTGAGAAAATAGAATATCTAAAACTTACCTTGAACTCATTCCACCACAAATCTTTCACTTCTTGTGGAGCACTGCTGTAATTAATATACTGCCTCATCCAATAGTTTTTGACTATTTTATTCAGTTCCCTCACAACAAACGTAGCATTCGTGAATCTGCAAACATACGGATATTGTGCAATATCGACAATTTAGTTGACATCCATATCTAAAATCATAAATATTACATATACTTAAAAAATGAAGTACTTACGAATCTCCACATGGGCATATCATGATTCGGTTATCTTCTTCACCTGTGTTTCCCTCATTATTCGATTGTTGCGCTGAATAATAAGGTGGAATGGAAGGAGATGGATCTGAAGGAGATGGAACTGAAGGAGATTCGGTTCAGATGTGTCCAAGTCCCCTAACATGTTCTTGAGGGTTGGAGGAAGGGCCAATGTGTCCATCAGCATATAGTGATTGAGGGTTAGATGAAAGGGACGGGGACGAGGACGAGGAAGGGGCTGGTCTTCTATGCATGTTGCCTCCACGTTTATACTGACAAGTAGGAAGGTTAGACAAATATGTAAAAAAATATGAACACTTATTAGGGACACATAATGACGTACATGACGAAGCTTACCATTTTGTTTCAGAGAGCAAGACATAAAGTTGAGGCTTTTCCGAAGCAGAAAATGTATCCTCTTAATTAGCCAATGCCGAGTGTTTATGACGTGCAACTTCCTATGAACAAATATACTATGAATCGCACTCATTTTGATATCAAACATCAATATATGATCATGATATGCCATGCTAAGCCAACAAAAGCCATAATTAACTACACGATCCACTTTCAAACCACACGATCATTCATCAAGTACAAGATCAACCATGAAACATCAATTTCAGCCACATGGTTTTCGTTCTCGGCCACACGATCATCAATCAACCGACGCGATCGGGCCATAGTTAACCAATCAGCCACAATTAAGCAAATCAACCACACGATTAAACTAATTAACCATACGAATGGCATTAAGCAACTAATCAACCACATGATCGTCATTGAACACTTAATCGGCCACATGATTGACAAATTAACCAGGCGAACATCGATCAAAGTTACATGCAATCCTGAAATCGGCCCCTAACTTAGCCAACCAATCCGACACTAAACAATCCCTAAACAAGTCCAATTAATACCCATTATACTAGGTACGGTTTAGGGAGTTGCTTACTTGGTTCAAGGCCAAAAAAAACCAAACAATGGGGCAAAATGGCCGGTCGGCCAGTGGCAGGCTCGGCGCGGGCGCGGGCACAAGTGGCGGCTAGTCGGCCAGGCGCTCGGCACGGCGCTTGGCCACGGCCGGCGAGTGGCCGGCGAACCAAGGCGACGGACGGGCGAGTGGCCGAGCGAGCCGGGCGACGGCCGGGCGAGCGGTTGGGCAAGAGGCTAGGCCACGGGCGACGGCTCGGCCACGGGCGAGCTGCCGGGCGCGCAGGTGACGACGGCTCGGCGGTGATGAGCGAGCAGGCGACGGAGGCTCGGCCAGAATAGGGGAACTCAACGGCAACGGCGAACGACGGTGGAGCTGGGCGGCGACGGCGACGGCTACGAGCTAGGGTGAGGCGTGCGGGCGAGCTGGGCGGCGGCGAGGTCGGCCAGGCGAGCGGCGAGCACGCGGGCGGAGCGGCAACACTCGCGGCTGCGAGCTGCCGGGCGCGCAGGTGACGACGGCGACGCGCGGGCTGGCGGTGGGGACAACGCACGGTGGCTGGGCAGCGCCGGGTCACGGCGGACACGGCGGCGAGCGAGCTGCTGCTTGCTCGCGGAGGGGAAGGGGAAGGCAGTTGGCAGAGGGGGGCACGGCGGTGGACGGGCGGCGCAGCTGGGCGGAGGCGGACGGTGACGCGACGGCCGGACGAATGGCGGCGCAAGGCGGACGGCGAATGGCGATAGGCGGTGAGCAGCAAGGAAGAATGAAGTAGAAGCCGCGGCGAAGAGGAACGAAGGAGGAAGAAGAAGAGAAAAAAAGAAAAGAAAGAAAAAGAAGAGAGAGAGAGGGAAGGAGTCTGCATGGGACAGAGGAGGAGGGGACGTGAGCGTGAGGTTGCGTGCGGCAGAGGGGAGAGGGAGAGAGAGAGGGGGAAAGAAAGTCAATATGCACTCAAGTGGAATCCAACGGTCTACGTTCGATTTCGCGACGGAAATGTGGATTCGCAGACATTTTTCGAATCCGTCGCAAATTTGTGACGGATTCCACATTCGCGGCCATTTTTCGAATCTGTCGCAAATTCCGTCGCAAATTTGCTACCGATTTTGCGACTGATTCGAAAAATGTCCGCGAATCCACATTTCCGTCGCAAATTTGTGACGGATTCCAAAAAATAGCCGCGAATTTTGAATCCGTCGCAAGTTTGCGATGGAAATTGCGACCGAATCGAAAAATGGCCTCTTTCAACATTTCCGTCGCAAATTTGCGACGGATTCGAAATTCCCGGCCATTTTTCGAATCCGTCGCAAATTTGCGACGGATTCCACATTCGCGGACATTTTTCGAATCCGTCGCAAATTCCGTCGCAAATTTGCGACGGAAATGTGGATTCGCGGATATTTTTTGAATCCGTCGCAAATTTGCGACGGAATTTGGGACGGAATTTGCGACGGATTCGAAAAATGGCCGCGAATTTCACTTCTGTCGCAAAATCCGTCTCAAATTTGCGACGGATTCCTTGATATTGCGACGGAATTTGCGATCGATTCGAAAAAATGACCGCGAATTTCACTTCCGTTGCAAATTTGCGATGGATTCGAAATTCGCGGCCACTTTTGGAATCCGTTGCAAAATCCATCGCAAATTTGCGACGGAAATGTTGATAAAGGCCATTTTCGAATCCATCGCAAATTCCGTCGCAAATTTGCGACGGATTCGAAATTCGCGGCCATTTTTGGATTCCGTCGCAAATTTGCGACGGATTCGAAAATGGCCATGAATTTCACTTCCGTCGCTAATTCTTCGATGAACAGTAGCCACGAATAAGTTTTTGTCACAAAATGAGCGACGAAATTAGCGACGATCCAAATCCATTGGAAAATAGAATATCGTAAATGTCATCACACGAATAATATTTGACTTGTCGTCATTTAGCGACGAATTTTCCGACGATCAATTACATTAATAAGAATAATCAACAATAACAATAATAACAACAACAATAATGATAATAACAATAATAAAAATAACAAGAACGATAATAATAATTATGACAACCAAAATAACACATGTCGCAATAATAATTACACATCATTAGTGTTTTGTCACAAAAATTTTAATCTTCATGTTCGTCTTCGTCTTCGTGTTCGTCTTCGTCTTCGTCTTCGTCTTGATCTGCGTCTTCGTCCTCGTCTTGATCTTGATCTTGATCTTCATCTTCTTCATGAGCATCATCTTCATCATCCGTCTCAAAATCAGATTCTGTACCACCTTCTACATTTAATTCGCAAATTTCAGTTGGATCCACATCTATCATTGCTCCACATGGATCTCATAAAGTTGGAATGTTATATTCCTCAGTTTCAACTGTGTTACAAACTTCCTCTTGTTGATAGGCTCTATCCTTCCAGTGTTTCTCGATTTTTCTCCATGCTTTGATTTTACATACAGCCCACCAATCAGCTTTGTCACGTTTCAAACTAGGATATGATGCATAACATACTTGAATTGCTTGTTGTGCCAAGACAAATGGTTCATATTTCATATATCTTTTCTTGTGATTTATTTCAACCAAATTAAACTTTGTATACACCTTCATTCCTTTGACGGTGTCGAACCACTTTCACTTAAATAACACAACCCGCATTAATAGCCCATGGTATTCTATCTCTATGATTTCATCCAACAAGCTATAAAAATCATCTTTTGAACTGCCATCATTAGATGATCGAACACACACACCACTATTCATTGTGACTTTTCCCATTCCATATTCTTGAGTGTGAAAATTATATCCGTTTATGAAATATGCTGGCCAACTTCGTATTCTTAACTTTGGACCCCATGACAGATGATATAGCAATCCTTGCTCTCCAAGTTCATCATGATTACTGTGAACCTAAGGTTACACACGCAAAGTCAATAATATATGATGTATAAAATATTAATAACTTGGTTTTGGTCCATAGGCAACTTACATATGTTTTGAACCATGCTGCAAATTGTTCATCGCACAAACGGTCAAACTCATTTGGTGGTAGTCCATAAATTGAAGTTTGGAAAATCCTAGTAATAAATACCATTTATATAATAGCAAATATTTGACACAGAATACATATATTTGTAAATTTACACTTACTCGAAGTATGGCTCGACTTCTGGGCAGTTCAGTAAAATATATGTATGGGCTGCATGCCATTCTTCGCCTGTTAAGTAACGAAACTTACATGCGCCGCTTGGTCGACCCAGATAATTAAAAATAGAGAATGATTTGCAATTGGGATCAATGGGGCCTTCATCATTTCTGCGTGTTCTCTGCCTCTTGCACTGCACGTGCGGCTCAAAATAGTATGATGCAAATATTGTCACTTTTTCCACAATATATGCATTACAAATTGAAGCTTCAACACATGCCTTATTCTTCACTTTTTTCTTCAAATGATATAAGAATCTAGTTGTAATAGAAAGAAGCTTATCGGAACATAATATATAATAAAGTAATTTGAACTTTATTTTAAAAATTTTTTTACCTCTCAAATGGATACATCCATCGAAATTGGAAGGGACCTGCAACTTTGGCCTCATAAGGCAAGTGAACTAAGAGATGCTCTATCGAATCAAAAAACGATGGAGGAAATATCCTTTCTAAGTTGCAAAGAATAATTGGAATATCTCTCTCTAGTTTCTCCATGTGTGATGCTTTTAACACTGTCGAGCAAATATCATGCAGGAAATTACTTAACTCTGTAATGGCGCCCCATACAAAGTTCGGTAGAACTTCCTTGAAAGTTATTGGAATTAGTCTTTCCATAAATATGTGACAATCATGACTCTTCAAACCTGTCAACTTGCATTCATTCAAATCAACACATCTCCCGAGGTTCGAAGCATATCCATCAGGAAACCGCATAGATTTCAACCATTGACAAACAACTCGTCTCTGCTCCTTATCCAATGTATAAACTGCTTTTGATTTTGGTGCCCTGCTGCTTGCATCTACATCTAGTGTTGGCTGATCACAAATATCTCTCATATCTTTTCTTGCGTTCAAGTTGTCTTTTGTTTTTCCGGTGACATCCATCACAGTATTTGTGACATTGTCGAAAACATTCTTTTCTATGTGCATGACGTCAAGATTATGATGAATAAGATGGGCCTTCCAATATAGTAGATCCCAAAATATACTGCGTTTAGTCTACTTATGTGTACTTCCGTACGCAATAGTCGTGCCGTGAGGGTTCTGAACAACAGTTGGAAAGTCCTACACCCGCTCCCAAATTTGATCACCGGTCAACCTCAATGGTGAAGGTGTTCTTTCAGTCCTATTCTTGATGAACTCTTTTTTATTCCTTCTGAATGTATGATTTATCGGTAAAAATTGTCTATGACAGTCAAAATAGCCGGGCTTCTTTCCATGTTTTAATCTAAATGACTTTGATCTCTCCAAACATATCGGATATCCTAAGATCCCAGCTATACTCCATCCAGATAACATTCCGTAAGTTGGAAAGTCATTTATCGTCCAAAGAAGAGCAGCCTTCATTACAAATGTTTGATCGGTAGAAATATCATATGTAAGGACACCTTCATCCCATAGCCGTTGTAACTCTTCAATCAATGGTTGCATATAAACATCTATTAACTTTTTCGGATTTTGCGGGCTAGTCACAATCAATGTTAAAAATATATAAGGTGTCTTCATGTACATACCAGGTGGAAGATTATACGGCGTTAAGATAACTGGCCAACATGAATAACTTTTTCCTGATTTCCCAAATGGGGCAAATCCATCAGCACAGAGACCTAACCTGATGTTTCGAGGCTCTATCGCAAACTTAGGGTATGTTCTATCAAAATGTTTCCATGTCTCTACATCTGAAAGATGACACATTAGACCCTCTTCTGTTTCATGATTTGCATGCCAAGTCATGTGTTCAGCAGTGGCTTGAGACGCATAAAGCCTTTGCAATCTGGGGATTAAGGGTAGACAAAACATTTGCTTGCATGGTCTACGCTTCTGATTACGACCCTGCCTCCTGTTAATCTTGTACCTAGGTTGGCTACAGAATTTGCAAGATTCTGCATTTTCATCATCTCTCCAATATAACATATAACCCCTACTACATACATCAATCCTTACAACCGAAAGACCTAAGTTATCCACTAGCTTTTTCATATCGTAAAAATCACTTGGCATGATGTTATCATGAGGCATTGTTTCCCGCATTACTTCAACAAAAGAGTTGAAGCAATCCGCAGACACATTATGCTCTGCCTTGATATTTAACAGTCTTGCTGTCACTGATAACTTAGTGTGGTTGTCACAATCTGCCCATAAAGGTTCATCTGCTGCTTTCAACACTTCCCAGAACTGATTAGATGGAAAAGTTCCATTACACACATTCTCATCAAAACCCGTTACTCCTATCTCTTCGAATTGTGATGCATGACTAGTAACCACTTGTTCAAGTGTAGGAGTAAAACTAGTACTTGCATGGTTCGATTCTGAAACAAAATTCTGACCAGCTGCATCAATCACCATCCTCTCGTATGGGTTCAATTGGTCATAATAGCTACATTCTTCCCTAACTAAAAATTGGTCACTTCTTCGATATCCTTCATCAGATATAAATGGTTCACCATGGCAAGTCCAATTATAATAGTTCGGAGTAAACCCAAATCTACAAAGATGTTCTCTAACTTTATCACACACATAAAATTTACCATTACTGCACTTTTTACACGGACACCTTAACTTATTTCCATCCATGAACTCATATTTACTACTAGCAAAGTCTAAAAATAGTTCCAACCCAGTACGAAACTCATCGGTCAATCCTCGACGTTCAGGTAAGTTCTTATTATACATCCAAGCCCTGTCTCTTTGCATTGTGTCTGTATAAAAATAGAAAAATCTCGTAAAATATTAAAAATATCATATATACTGTTCTTAATTAAAACCATAAAATTATAAAAATTAAAATTTTATTTTTGACGCAACAATTACTTTGAAATTGAAAAAAATGAAAAAATTACCATGTAAAGAAGACTTACTCAAATATTTGACTGAAATTTTTGTAGTAGAAAGTGGTCAATTTGATGAGAATTGCAACGTTCACTTGGATTGCGAGACCTTCAAATGGACACGTACCTAAAAAAAAAGAAAAATAACTTAAGATTCATTTTTTAATAATTTTTTATTTTTTTCGAATTTTTTTTTTTATTTTTTTTTGTTTCTGTTTTTTCCCCTATATTTTTCTCCGGTCGCCGGTCCGGCGACCGGCTGAGGCCGGCGAGTTCGACCTCGCTGGCCATGGGCGAGGCCGAGCGGCCTCGCCATTGTCGCCGGTCGACCTCGCCGTCGCCCATATCTGGGCGACGGCGAGGTCGACGGCCATGGGGGGAGGCCGAGCGGCCTCGCTGGTCGCCGGTCGGCGGATCGGCTACCGGCGAAGAAGTTAGGAAAAAAAAACAAAAAAATAGTCAATAAAATAAAAAAATTCGAATCCAGCGATGAATAGTTTTGCGACGAACCGTATTCGTCGCCAATTAGTCACGAAGTTAGCTATGATACTTACCGGTAGAAAAGCTTTACCGAGATTGATTTGTGCGCGCACGGATAGGTTTATCGAGAGAAACGAAAGAGGGAGAAAAGCGAGGGGGGATATGAGGAATCAGTACAGAGAGAGAGAAATTGAGGGTGGGGGTGGATATCACGAAAGTTATTTTCCGTCATAAATTACAAATTAGCGACGAATTCGTTTTCGTCGCAAAATCCGTCACAAATTAGCGAGGAATTTTTTCTCCGTCGCAAATTAGCGACGGTAAAAATACCCGTCGCTAATTTCGTCGCAAAATAGTAAATTTCGTTGCGTAAATTAGCGACGGAAAATAAATCCGTCGCTAATTCCGTCGCAAATTAGCGATGACCAATTTTCCGTCTCTAATTTGCGACGGAATTAGCGACGGATTTATTTTCCGTCGCTAATTTGTGACGAATTTTTATTTCGTGGCAAATTCTGTCGCAAATTAGCGACGAATAATTTTCGTCACTAATTTGCGACGGAAAAAAAAATCCGTCGCAAATTTCGTCGCAAATTAGCGACAAAAAATTCTCCGTCGCAAATTTCCGTGGCAAAATCCATGTGTTTTTTGTAGTGTCGGTAAAGCACTCGTCTCAAAATTCCACGTGAAGCAAATTAGGATAGTGAGAAGAAAGAGAAGATAATCTTAGGAATATACGAAATTCCGACATATGCTTGATAGCGTCATACTATTTTATTTTTATCTCGTTCATTTCCTCCCTTTAAAGAGCATAGCGGGAAGAAAAGTATGCATCAAAATAACTTTCTTATGCAGTAAAACAACACTAGTATGAAGTTAAGCAAAGGGCTATTCATTAATTTCCGGCATTTGAGCTTTTGCTCGAGTTAAAACTTCTCTAATGAGCAAGCAACTCTTCAGTTGGGACATGGAGCTTTGATTTCAATTGTCACATGGACTAAACTTTAAATTCTTTACAAATGATATTCTATGACTGTTTTCTGGCCAAATTATAATGAAAAGACTATATATGGTTCACTTCTGCATAGATAATCACTTTACTTTACCATACCTAGTTGCATTCATGTTATAGGTTGCGCCCATGATATTTCGTCACATGCTTGAGCTCGAAATATACTAATTAGCTTGAGTAATGGACGTTCAATTGGAAGACGCTGGAAGTTGTGGCCTCAAACGAACAGGGTTGTCCATTTCAAGACGTTTTTGATCTTCTGGCCATCATCTTTCATGGCAGCGCTATGATACTGAGAACTCCTGAAGCCACTTGTTTATGATATTTGATATCCTTTTGTCCTTATTAATGCTCAACAGGAAATACACAACAAGGTCGAGACACTACTATATGCATTTTTGTTATTTTATCTTTTATTTTGTAAAAGACGGCGCCGAAACCCAACAGATGAAAATGTAAATATCCTATATGCATTATTTATTGCACGAAAATGACACTACTATGTTAAGATAATTTCACGGGAAAAGAATATCCCTTCTAGGTAGTTCAAGAAAATGCACTCACGATAAAGGTCGAAACCGGATTTTTCCACTTTGGACACAGACTATGTAGAATGTCCTTTTCACATTGTCTAATTTGGGTGTGTCTCATGTATTTTTTTTTTGCGGCGGTTACTCTTGGAAACATACATTGAGTATACTTTTTCAAATTCATCGAGAAAATAATCTATGGAAATGATACTTTAAACACGCTTCATGAATATACTGCATAATTCCAAGCCAGTGTCTATAAACAAGGAGAAATGATTAGGGGTAATCAGTTGTAGGGTGACCAAGTTCCAGACCTGGAACATACTTTGTCAAGATCGGTTCCTAGTTTTTTGGAACTGTAATGACCCTGGAACCAGTTCCAAGTCAGTTCTAGTCAACCTCGGAGTTGTTAGGAACTTTATTTTTTTTGTTTCATTTTATAATATATACAATATGCTCGTACCAAACATGTATACAATTCTTTTACTTAAGGATAATATGTCAAACATAATCAATTTCAACAAATATTTTTTGTTTTAAAAAAAGAGAAAGAACTTACTTAGGGTTATAGTTGAACCAGTTCAAAAGGGGTTCGGTTCCATCCTTTACCTAGAAACCGGCATTGTAGTTTCCAAGTTCACGGGTAGAATTGGCCGATTAGGGTATAAAGTCGGGAATCGAACCATATTGGTCTCCTTCTCTTCCGAGTTGAACCTGTTGGGGCTAATAATATAACCTAGCGGGGTGAATAGGTTGTTTTAGAGCTATGAAAATCTTTTATGGAATATAACAAGTTAAAATTCAAACAGCAGTAGAATCAAATTATAGATATCAAGTGCGTGTGATGCTAATGAACAGATAATCTTAATAGTGAAGAGAGAGAAGATATATAGTGATATGACTTTATCCTCAAACCTACATCCACTCCCAATACTAACAGCCACAATAAGCTGAAATCCACTAGTAATCTTTAAGATAAGTTACAATCAACATGTAATGCTCCTATCAACTGATAGATCACATTATTGGGGCGCAAGTACTGTTGTCACTACTTGCTCTTGTCATGATTACAAACAGTAAGAACACTACACAGAGAATAATTAGCAATACACAACAATTACCAACACAAACAGAGCAATGAAGAACACTTAAAACAATGGGCTAGTTTTTTTCCCCTAATACCACTACTTCTCTTGGATTGACTATTTTGACATCCAACCTTAGATGACTGTCCCAACTCAAATCCCTCAAGAAACCGTTGGTTCTACCTTTGCCAACGGGAAATTGCTGATTTTGATTGATATCATTAGTTGTCGCTGATGATTGTACAGCTTCCTCTTCATTATCAGCTCGTGTACCCATCAACTTATCTTCAAACCTAATATTTATTGATTCTTCCACTTCCTATAAAGCTTTGTTAAATACTCGATATGCTCTACTGGTAGTTGAATAACACATTCATTTGATCTTGGTTCAAACTTACCAATACTATCATTTGCATTCTTGAGAATATAGCATTTGCATCCAAATACATGAAAAAGCATGCAATGGTTCCTTTCAACATTAGGGGGATTTTCCTTTAGAAAAAGAATCACAAATGCATTGAGAATATGACATGTAGCACTAGCAGCTGTTTCATAAGGAGATGTTGATGCTTTTATCGTATACAAGTATTATGCATGCCATGTCTTGCTATAAATGCATGTAATACCTTATACTTATGACAATAAATATTTTAAATATGAATTATATGTAATCATAAACAATTAAGCAATTATCAAATATTCTTATCAACAAGAATCAATATAAAATTCATCTCAAAACTTGCAAGGCACTTTAGAGGATTAATATGAAGGTTAGATTCTCTTACCCAATGTAGGTGTTTAACAAATACGACACATTTGAATTTTGTTTTTTATCAATCCTTACTTAAGATCCTTCGTTGATAGCATCGGGATTTGGATAGTACTAGATTTGGTCACCATCTTTCATAGATCCTAGGCAGTGCTCTTATTTACCTCTTTCTAGTGTTGTTCATGTTGGCTGCTTTTGTTAGTCGACTACCATTCCGATTCGCTTGAAACTTTTTCTTTTTTAATTTTCTTCCTCTTTTTGAGCTTTGAATAGACGATGTCATTACCTTTGGATTTCTTCTTTTTTCTTTAAGAACCTTGGGAGTTCTTGAATCAATGAAGCCATATCCTCATCATAATAGTCATCATCTTTGGAGGATGATCCTTTGGAATCTACATGAAGAGTGTTAGCTTTATATGCAATAGACTTTGTACCTTTGGATTATCTCGGCTCAATGTTTGGTTTGATTTCGTAAACCAGGAAAATTCTAATAAGCTCATCCAAGGTCAAGAGTTGAAGTTTTTGAGCTTCACAAATTAATGTTTTCACATAAACCCATTTTTTTGGTAGTGCTCTAAGAATCTTGCTTGTATGTTCCTCATTTATATAGATCTTGCCACGTTTAGCAAGTCCACTCACATTGTCATTGCAGAGCACGAACATTTCTTTGATATTTTCATGTGGTTCCATCTTTAATGTCCCATTATGTCCAAGCTGGATATACGTTTTGTTTCTCTTACTTTGGCTGTTCCTTCAAATGTAACTAAAAGTCTATCCTAGATTTTTTTAGCCGTAATACAAGAAGAAATTTGGTTAAATTCAGACATAGTCAATGCACAATATAATAAATGTTTAGTTTTAGCATTTAGTGCAAGTCTTCTCTGAATCTCGTCATGAGTAGGAGCAAGTGGAGCTAGTGGTTGTTCGTCTCCGACTGGTCGAGGAATTCTTGTTCCATTCTCGA